TGCCTCCTCCTAGCCAGATAGTGACAATGCGATTTAGGGTGGTGGTTGGTCATGCAAAAAATACCGCATTGTGAGTTATGGCAGAAGCTTTGGTTCACATGGTGTCAGTCAGCCTAAAGACTGAGTTCAACCACATAGGCAATTAATCAATCATGCAAATATAATGGAGCACCAATAAACACTCAGAATACTGAGACCCAGTGAGCTTCCCTGATTAGCAATACTCTGTGCATACTGTCACACAAAGATACAGAAAAGTAACATGTCTATGACTCCATATGGAGAGGACTCCACATTTGATACTTCGCTTGGACCCTGTCCCATGCACTTCCCTTGATAGATTTTAATCTATATCCTTTCCCTGTAATAAATTGTATTGTTAGTATAACAGCTTTCATTGAATTTTGTGAGTCCTTCTAAGCAAATTACCAAAACTTAGGGTAGTTTTGAAAAATCTCCTCCCCAAACTTGCAACTGGGGATGGTCTTAGGGTGTGTTCCTTTTAAAGTTTGTAGCTTGCCTAAATTCTTCACATACATACAAACTACAACCTTCTGCATAGGATCATACATATAATATATAGACAGCTGGAGATATCTTTGTAAAGATCTCAAAATAATTGGCCTTGTGTATTGGAGAAATTTCCCTGTACTCCATAGTACAGATAAATGAGCAAAAAGACAATCAACTGAATTTGGGCAATACGGCTTTACAAAGATACAACCAACCTACTTGTTTTTTCTATGTCTAGGGCTATAGAAGTCAATCTGAGTATGTAGGTAAGCTCTGAAGTTCAAGTCAGAGGGATTTATTATGGGTGGTAAAGTGGAATTGCAAGTTAATTCATCGCCAGTGTTGTTGCTTTTACCTCTGATACATTGTTTATCTCCTTCCACTTCTGTCCTTCTCTACCACCACCTCCATAGTCAAAGCCAACATTGATACCTCAACTTATGAAATATTTCCAAGCTGAATTGTTCCATGTGGCAGCTAAAGTGATTTAGATACATAATTTAGATCATAGTGCTCTTTATCTTCTCACCTTCTGTGATTAAAACTCTTAAATGTCCTCCCAGTGCTCTTAGAATAAAGTCAAAACATTCCTGAATTGGTCTGCAAATATTGGTGCCACTTGATGCATATTAATTTCCCAGGCTTTTTCTTGAACCACACTTCCTGAGGCTCTCTTATCTCTGGTCACACTGGCCTTTCTTTGATCTTTCATATTTAGCATACTCCTACAGCATGGTCTTTGCACAAGTTCTCTTTGTCTAGCTTTCCCACCCACTTTGTGTTTATTAATGCCTACACATTGTTCACACAAACCTTTCTTTTAAGAAAGTTGCTTTTGATCTCTGTAGCTTTGTTTCATAATTCCTTCTACTTCTTATTCAGAGGTTTTTCACAGTTGCAGTTTTGTATTTGTTATCAATTGGTAACCTGTGTCCCCAGCTAGAATGAGTGGTATGGATTTGGGTGGATCCATGGTTCTGCACTTTTCACAATGACCTCATGTCATTTTGATGCAGGTGGGCTTCAGACTAAACTTTGTTTAGATAATGATTGTGGGGTAGGATGCTGGCAGCTGACACTCTGAAATTTTAATTAGAATGAGTAATTGTAGAGTAAACATTGCCACCCAGAATCATCATTTGTATCTAAGAAGTTCTTTCAGATGTTGTTTGCCCTGGTTGATTTGTCCTGATCATTTCTTTCAACAAAGAGCCCTTGACATTCCAAGAATGACATGGGTAGGAGAGTTGGCCAAGGTGGTACCATTTTGGGCTTCAGTAATGTGTAGAGTATATGAGATACTGATCCCTCTAGACCTTGGCACAGCAAGTCAAGGCCTGGGGTAACCTTGTGCATCATGTCTAGCCACCACAAGCCTTGTATGGGGTCTTGAAGGCTTCTCAAACAGAAAAGGAACTGGCAATTTGTCCCAGGGTTTCTATAGCTAAGCAGAACAATTAATGATGTCCAGCTCTTGCCATTCTGCCATAAAGCGTGGTCAAGGAGTTTCTCTATCCACCTGGACATGAGGTTCAGTACATATGTTCTACTGCCCACGGTGGACAAGAGCCCTATGGAGCTCTAGGATATGCCCAGGGAGCCAGGCAGCTGAGGACACTAGGGAAAGATAGCTGGATGGGTATTCTGACGGGTCTAGGTCCAGCTGCAGGTCCATATATTTGTGTTCACTTATATATTGAATAATTCTTTCTATTGTAACTGATGTACCCTTTTGGTAGCATCCTGGCTATCTGCATGACAACAGTGCAATGTATTCAGCAAATTAAAATATCATTATTTTAAAAACTTGAAAGAAAAAAAGCTTGGATAGGATTCAAAATTAATTCATATTATCAAAAGACATTTTGATATAACATTTTTTCAGTAAAAGAGAAGCTATTGGATTGTCCAAATATAAATTCAACTGTTACACATTTCTGAATTGTAGAAAAAAATACTCTCAAACTTTTTATCATTCACTCAATGTTTTTCATTTATGTTCTCTATAAAGAATTTGAAGAGAATATCATCAAAAAGTCTTGACCAGGAAATTTTTTATAACTCTTTTATGCATATAAATTGATGTGAAATAGCTGTTCATGAAAGCAATCCTGAGTTTTCTTTTAAAACGTTGAAAATATTAGGTTTTGAAGTTTGATACAAAATAAACATTCAACCTCTTTTTTAAAACTTTTGGATTTAGTAATCATACTTAAAAAACAAGTGATTTTTTTTCAGCAAGCTTTACATACATTTCCCCAAATCCTCTTCAGTTTACCCAGTGTGCTTTACCAATGTTATCATGTTTTATATGCACTAAGACATGAAAAATCACTGTTTAAATAGATGCGTAGAATGGACAATCTATTAAGTCTGTTTTGTGTATTGGTCAATAGAACTCAGCAGAAATGATGGATGAGTTTAGAAATTGGCTGCAAGGAATAAGGGCTTCTTATTTTGGAGACCAGATAGTATGAAGGGACAGTTTCATTTTGACAACTGCTTATAGGTAATCATTTTTGAAAATGCATTTTGTATGTGGCTTCAAGATACAGAACTTCGTGCAAGCTTTGTGAAATCCATGTGACCTTAGTAACTCATACAACCTCTCTAAGCCTCCATTTCTGCAGGTGCCAAATGTATATTATAACAACTAGCTCAAGGGTAATTGTCAAGCATGGATGAATTATCTTTGTAAAATGCTTAGTATAGCACCTATACCTAGTAAGCAAATGGGAAGGACTGGGCCAGATGGGCCCAGTGGTAGTAGGTTCCCTATCACTAGAAGTATTCAAGCATATTATGGAAGATCACAGTTTTAGACTGACACAATTACAATAAAATCTTTAATAACCCTAAGATCCCCTGTATAGCTGAAACTCCCAGATTGGAAGTGGCAGAGCCATGTCTAGAATAAACACCACAGCCATCCACCAGATTAAAAAAAAAAAGTCTTAATGTGAAATCTTTCAATGAACCCTCATAAGAATTTTTTAGTAAGAATGTTGATGAGGACCCTTGTCTTTCTTAAGAAAGAACTTACAGTAGCATGCATTGGACTTACTTGAGGGGGGAGGTTGTTAAAACACACATTAATGGATCTCATCCCCAGAGTTTCTGATTCACTAGGTCTGGAGTGGGGCCCCAAAATTTGCATTATTAATAAGTTTCCAGACATTGCCAAGGCTTCTGGTCCTAAGATCAGAGTTGAGAACATTAGAGCAATGCTACATTGGAGCAATGCTTCTCAGTTCTAGCTGACATTAGATTCACTTGGGGAGATATTTAAACTTATAGCTGTATGGAAACTTACCCTAAACCCATTACATAGAATCCTGGGTGACAGAGCCCAGGCATGGGTGTATGTTAAGAGGTGTCCAAGTGATTCAAATGAGCAGTCAGTACTGAGAACCACAGAGAGAGAATATCCATATTTTAGCTAGTGATTGTCTTGCTACTAGATCCTAATGTTGGATTAATTTTTTCATTAGTTTTTGTTATGACTGTCTTTCTCTTCTGTATTTCAGTGTATTTTTTAAAATGTCACAGTGACATTTGAAAAAAGTGTTTTTGTACTCTGAGACTGTTCCAATAAGTTGCATCCCATCCTCTTCCTAATTATTCAAGAGCCGACTTACTGTTAGCAATTAGATGAAAATCTGTAGCCTGCAATTAAGATCAGTATATATGACAGTGAAAATGGACTTTGAATATTTTATTATTTATGCTTGTAATACTTTAAGTGTTTTAAATGATTGTACTAATAAGAATAACTTAAAGCATCTTTTAAGTGAAATTATAACTTGCAGTATATTTTGTTTCCTAAAACAGAAACACCTTTAGATAACAATAGCCAATTGAATTGCACCAAGTTTTCATATTTAAATTTTAGTGTAGTTATATAATGGCTCTTTGAAGCCAGATTAAAATGCTTATGACTAGTGGACTCACATCTGCCATAGGGGTTAGGTTTTTAAATCAGCATGCATGGCAAAGGTTGTACATCGTCAAAATTTTCTTTCAGAATCCTTTAAATCTACATTATCCAGACTGTGCTCCAAAGACCAGCAGCATGGGCATCACCCAGGAGACTGTGAAAAATGTGCAGTCTCCATAACTTATTGAATCTACACCCACAGTTTAACAAGATTCTTGGGTGATGGTATGGACATTAAAATTTGAGAAGTATTGCCTTAAATTATTCATTAATCACTGAGGCCTGAGACTTCAGTAGCTGAAGAGCCCACAATTATTTACTCAGTTTCTCTTTGCAGTTTTGTTGAGGCTTCATTCTTCCTTTTGAAGTGGAGGCCTGCCTCTAGGTTGAACAAGGAAAGTAGGAAGAAGAATTATTTTCTTTACATCCTTCCCTGCTCCCTCCCTTTTCTTCTATATAGACTTCATGTGGTCCAATGCATGTTAGCTGAAAATGCATGCATTGAAACTCCATTGTCTTTTATATGATAGTGTAAAAAATGGACTGCCCATCTACCATAGGCTTGGTGACGAAGATGCAATGGCAAAGAGGAAAAAACGGTTCCCACTGTCATAGAGCTTAGTGTCTAAAATGTCTCATTGAAGATCATTAGTGATTAGCAGGCCTTCAATGCACAAAGAATACTGTGTTCTGTTCAACTTAGTGTTCAGTTTCCAAATACCTCTAGTGAATAATATCTTCTGTTAGGAATCCCTGTGAACTGACCATCCACAGGGAGTTTTCTGGGTAAAGCATCCTACCACCAGTTTAACTACCCTCCAATTCTTACTGAGGCCTGAAGGAATGACTCGAAATAAAGGCAACCACTGGTATCTTCTGTATGAGTTTCCAAAACCAGGCCTCCAGTGGCCAAGGAGAATTAATGGCATTGGGAAAGAAAAGCATCTTTGGAGAAGACTGGGCAGCATGCCAACAAGGTCCCCTCTATTGTTATGCCAAAGCTTCTCACTCATGCCCAATCCCAAGCATGTCTCAGGATGCTGGCGGTGCCAATTCCACATCTTATATCGGCAGTCTCCAAATATTCTGAACAATTTCATGCATCTGTTCCCTGGGGGAAAGGGGAAAAAGGGCTTCATTTTTCACTGCCCTCATGAGATTTTATTGTTTCCACTTTCTGGATGCTTGCTTTCTGTTAACTATCTTGAAAAAGAAAGCTTTTCACTTATGAAGGGAAGGAAAGAATGACTTGTGAGATGAGAACTGATCACCTCTTAAAACTATTTACATTCTTGCCAGCTGCTGGCTGTCCTTAAAATGCTGCAAGATACTTGTAAGTGTCCTTTATTTTCCTAACAATGTGTGGCAGATGTTTGGGGTTTCATGTCTTTAAATGCCTTTCATCAGTGCAGAAACTGCATTTCCTGGTGGCTGTTATCCCCATACAATGGCTGTTGTATAATGATTTATCGTGTTTAATCAGAAATTACAACTTGCTTCTGAATAAAAGGAACAAAGCACATATTACAGGATATTTATGACTAAATCTATTTACTATTTATGAAGAATCTAAAAGCTTAGCAATCTCCTTCAAAGACAAACTGTCAAGTTTGAAAAAACCTCCAGCTGTTTGAGATTTCAAATCCTTAGCAGAATGACTGATCTAGACTGAGGCATTCTATTTGAGTATCTTTTTTTAAACAAAGCTATTGAAGACAATTTTCTGTTAGGTATTGTCTTTACCACAACGCAAGCTGAGAGCTTGGTGGTGTTCCCAGGAGAACTGCTGATGTTGAGATGCTTGAATCCTACAATTCCAGTTTCCACAGTCCTTCTGGCTGTCACTGAGACCAGAGAGATGTGTTGTTGGGAGAGGAAGGCAGGTTTCTGCCTTTAGTTCAGGGACATCCACTGAGTCGCAGGGATGTGCCCTTGTTGAAAGCAGGTTGTTGTCTTATCTGAACACAGAAGAAATTTCTAAGAGGTTCAAAGGAGACCTGATCTCCTAAAAGTCCTAGATGATTCTGCTAAATGCTAGTTGAGAAGGGATGCCAATTTCTGAGTATCAGCTATGTATCAGATCACATCCCAGGACTTTAGCTTGTGCCATCTCACCCAGTCTTGAAATAACTTGCTTACAGAGGGTCCTGTATCCCTGTGTTGACAGATGAGGCAGTTTAGATGGGAAGATGTTTGTTTCAGACTTATGCCAGGTCCAACTCCAAAGCCTATAACTCTGACCCTAGACTGGCTCTCCAGTCAAAGATGCCTCACTTGCTTCCTCTGGGATCAGAAAACTTTTCTCAGGCAATCAAGTTACTTTTTTTAAGAAAAAAAATCTATCTTCAAAACTATAAAGTTAGCTAGAAGCTTGGAACTGCACTAGATTCAAAATGCTCATAGCAGTCTTATAAAGAGGGCTAAGAAAATAATTCTTTGTAATCCTTCCCAATGAGTTGATAAAGAAAAAAACATTAGGAGCCAAAGTAAGTAGTAGAAAAGAAAAAAAAACATACTAATTTTTGAAAATGGATGAATGTCATGATTAGTTCAGTGTTGTCTACTCACCAACAGACGTACAGTTCAAATTAGATCTATTTGAACCATACATTTTCAAATTTAAAAAATTGTTTGATAAAAGTAACTTGTTTGTTACAGAATTTAGAAAGTACATAGGCTTTTCCTTTCCTAAGAGCTACTCTAAATACATATCCCCTTGGTTTGAAATGTGTATGTAGAGAGTTGAAGGAAGAATACTTCTATTTTTTCCCATTGTCACCAACTGTCTAGTAAATATTCCTGTAGAGATGTCCTCTCTAAAGTTTATGTAATTATGTTCACATTTACAAGGTGACCTGGGGTCTGATGATAGAGCTTTTTCAGAAAACTAGGTGGTCAGTTTTTCCATAGATGTGGAATCTTCCTTACCTGAAATCAAACTTGGAGTTTTGAGCTTTCAGGTCAGGATTGACTGTAACCCAGGGACTACTAAGGTGAAGTGGTTGCCTGAACTTTTGCACTGTTCTGAGAGATTACCCTTTGTCATCTGTAGCTTTGGAATTTTTGAGCATAGATTTCTATAAAGTCTGCAGATAATCCTGCTCCTAAGCTAAGATCTCAAAAGTGTGTAGTCTCTGACAATACTTCCTGCCCTAGTGCTCCTGCAAATTATCTTTTCTGCTACTCGGTTGTAACCCGTTGACATTTTTCTCTATATAGAGTACATTCCCATAGCCTTCAGAAGAGAATTTGGGAATATTCACAGCTGAGTTCTAATTGTTTTCTTCTGCTCTTCTCCAGGCTTACCCATCATATAGGAGCCCAGTGGTACTTAACTGGGAGTAATTGTGCCCTCAGAAAACAGTAGGCAATTTCTGGAGATGTCTTTGATGCTCAACATTGGGATGGAAGTCAAAGATGTTGCTAAACATCCTACGATGCAGTGGACAGCCCACTGCAACAAGAATTGTCCAGGCCCACATGTCAGTAGTGCTATGGTTGAAAAGGCCTGTGGTTTAGCTATACTGGAAAACAGACCTTCCACAAACACACCATGTATTTACCTACCACTGGGAAGTAGTCCATTGTTTAGAGCATGATTTCTGGGCCCAGATGGCCTGGGCTTATCTCCAAGATCCTCTAGTTATCAGCTGTGTGACTTGGAGAAAATTATTTAAAATCTCTGTACCTCAGTTTCCTTATCTGTAAAAGTAGCCTAATGATGGCTATCACATACAGTTGTGTAATTAAATGAGTTAACACATATTAAGTACACAGAATAGTGGCTGGTGCATGGGAAGAACCCAATATGTGCCACACAGCATGGCTGCCACTACTGCTGCCACTTAATGCATTTGGACTTTATTTAGGATGATCCTTCTGCCCAGAACACCCTCTCCCATATTGCCTCATCCTTTAAGCCATAGTTAGACTTTCCCCTTGCAAATGGCCCCCTTCAGTCCTCTTTACATACCTCTAGTATAAGTCAATGTATAGTACCTGGCAAGGAGTAATTTGTTCTCCCTTCTGCTTTTAATTGCAAACTCTTGGAGGAGCTGCAGCTTGTTCTATCTTGGCCTTCCATGCAGAGTCCCTAACAAGAGTAACCACTCCGTAAATTAATAGCAAACTTTTCTTTCTTTTCAGACTTAATATAACCTGTTTAGTAAGCCTCACAGGGCTATTTGTTCGAACACAACAAGCCTGGTTTTAATTGGACATTTGCAATTTCTTTATAACCCCTACAGTAATGGTGGAACCTCCTTAACAGTTGGCACTGGAAGCCGAAAGCTGAGTGACAGTGCAGAGTGTCATGCTGTTTCCTCCCTCAGACACAAGACAGACACTCATCTTCAGCTATGCCAGCCTTCTGGCTTTGGGGAGACATATACCATGAAGTGCTATGTGGAGTTAATAATTCACTCCTCTTTTAAAGCTGTCTATCTTGATTCTTTATTCTGGCCTGAGCTAGATAAGGCAACAAGTGGCTCCTCGCTGCTGCTGATCATCTATGAGTAGAAGAAACCAAAATAAATTTGTATCCTGCATTGTAAATCTGAATCTTCTATCATGAGATAACATTTGTTGTTCTCTCCTTGGCTTAAAATTAATTTTTTCAGTTCAAAAATATTACAGCTCTTTAATGAAGAAATGCTGATGCACAAAGGGATCAGAATGGGTTCTAAAACTTCTGTCACTAATACCTTGGATCATTTTCTTCACCTCTCTGAGCCTTACTTTACGTTTCTATGAATGAGGATAATGACACCTACCTCAGCGAGATACCCTGAAGATAAAATAAGATGCTGAATTTGCAAGCACATAATAAAACAAAACTACAAAATGTTACACAAGGGCAAGTTGAATACAATAGTTAATTGATGATGATGTAATTTTTAAAAATTAGGTATAGTTTTCTTTTTTGCCTATTTTGTCCTTCTGGACACAAATTCATTGATGCTGTTTTATTGAGGAGATTGAGAAGTCAATATTTATTTAAATGTATAGCTTGTATGCAAGTTCATGGAAAGAACGACATGGTTCTTTCTTTCTCAATCCCTTATCTGGCCATTTAACAGCTTGAGTTCTGTCTGGAGTGAGCACCTGAGATACTGAAGGAGGTTTACCTTTAGCTGTACTCAACCTGATTGATAGAACTGGCCTGGAACTGGGATTAAATATCTTTTACTGGCTCTTCTTACTAGCTTTCCATGCTAGTTTTAAATAAAAGCTCTCCCAACATATAAACTGATAGCAGAAACTCCTCTAGCTAATGTAAAATATTATTAACTACTCATGATTCACATAAAACTTCTGATAGCTGAAAAATAGCCATCTTCAGTCCCTTGCCTGTATTGTTTTTTCCTTCTGAAACATTTACAAAGCAACTGCCAGACAATGTTGCCAAGGGCTAACCATGCACAGAAAAAAATAAGACACGTCAATTTTGACTTTTTAGAAAAAGAGAATTTTCCAGCTGACACCAGAATCTCAAAGTTGGCCAATCCAAGTGAAAAGTGCTTGGAAATATTCTGTTTAAGGTTGGGTGAAGCCTCTGTTCATATCCTGGAATATTTAATTTGGCTTTTCTGTTACTGAGGAAACATGGCATGATGAGTGAATATGCACATTACTTCCATTCGGGTCGTGACTAAGAAAACCATTCTCCCTTACATACAAAGCCTTACTGTAGTCATTCTCTATGTACTGACCACAAACAAACTTGCCATCTTGCCTCCTTTTCAAGAACTAGATTCAACTATAGAATGAATGAATAGAAAGCGTTATAAATAGCTTGTGAAAGGAATTGGGGAAACCTTCTCAACTAAGAGAACATCATTTCTGATAAACTATTTTTGTTAACTCACAGTATATACTGTACACTCTACAACGTAAATGGCTTTTTACTAGAAGCTACAAAAGAAATGGGTCCAAACACTCTTGAGAGATGTATAGATAATTCTTATAAGCAATGGAGAGTATTAAGAACAAAAGGAACTCTTTTATAAAGGACATTCTTATCCCTCTTTTTACCTTCTCTTAAGTTGTGGCTCAGTGCTATTTAATTTTTGTGATAATGGAAATGTTCTCTAACTTTGTAGTCCAATATGGGAGCTGCTAGCTATATGTGCCTGTTAAGAACCTGAAATGTGACTTGTGCAAGATTATTTAATTCTAATTAATTTAAGTAGCCACAAGTATCCAGTGGCTACTGTATGGATTGACAACTATACTTCAGTTGGTGATAGTCATTAAGGAGTAACAACAAATTATTTAGCATTCTATTACATGCCAATCACTGTTTTAAGCATCATGTCATATATATTAACTAATTTAATCCTAATAACTGCCCCATGTGGTAGTTACTAAGGTTATACCAATTTTACAGATGAGAAAACTGATGCGCAGAGTAGGCAACATGGCCACATCACAATCTGGAGAATGACAAAGTTGGATTTAGAATCCAGGTATATGGGCTCCAACATCTTCAGTCTTAACCTGGGCACTAGACTGCTTCTCCATAAAATCATGGTTGATTTATTAACAGCAATAGTTATTGAAGACTATCCTAATCATTTTCACTATCTGATTGCGCAGAAAAGCATAGAAAGCATAAATGAAGATTTAAAAATCATATTCTCTTTGAGGACTTCAGGGCTAAAAAAAAATATGTAGACTTCCTTGGCTAAGTGCCTTGAAATGATTGCATAAGACGTATCAACACACTTTGCCTACAAAAGGCCAGGCCTTGTGGCCGACTGAGTGCAGAAAAAAGGAATGTTGACCCAGCTCCTTACTGAGTGTTATCATGGTGATTCAGCTTTAAACAAAGGTGATGCTATGTTTTTGTGCTCCAGTAACAGAGCTCAGCAATTAACTTTAGTTTTATTTAGTCTGCAACACCAGATTGGAGAGTCTCTTGAGAGGGGACCTTGACATAGCTTCTCACAGTACTAGCCTACAGAGGGGTGACTTCTTGGGTACATGGTAGATCCCACTTGTGCAATAAACCCAAATAACTTTTCAAAAATCAATCATTTTAATACCATGAAAAACACTTTGCTCTGTAAGTGATCACCATCACATCAATACCATATTGCATGTGTTTCTTATCAAGGACAATTTAAAAAATAAAACTGTTTCCCAAACCTGGATGTGCATCAGAATCACTGAGAAGTTTGTTAAATACAGGTGACCTTTTGATGCCCACAAGGTTAGGGGAACAAATGATTTAAATCAGACTGAAGTATAAACTGAAATGTACTTCAGAAGGTTTGCTTTTGGCAAATTTTCTGCCATACAAAGGATTTTTAAAAATTGGTCATTGGCATTTCCTTAAATATCTGAGTACTAACAGGTACTAATTTTTAAACCATGATGGTGAAAATGTTGAATGTATTTATGCCTAGAGTTAGGAAATATGTGTTGTGTTATGAAATTAAATGAAAACTAAGTGTGTTTAAATGTGATTTCCCAGATAGCTCATTTGACAATACAGCAAAATTTTGACTTTAAGGCACCATTGCTCCAAAAATGATCAACACTAAATAGGTTGAAGACAAGACTGGAGATGTATTGATATTTCAAGATGTATTAGAAAATCCTGCAGGTTATTCCAAACAAAAATTAGATGCAGATGGATTGCTTGACATTCTTAAACTTTATTATGTGTGTGGTACAGGAAGACAATGGGTACAAGAGACCAAATAGAAGAATATCAGATGGGAATCTCCAAAATCCTTTCCTAGAGGGAATAGAAACAGAAAATCCAGTTAATTTGAGATGACACCATCAAAACACTGATGGTTAACATTTGAATTGCCATTATGCTAAATTCTGATCTAAGTCCTTTACCTTTATTTATTTCTCACTACTACCATATGAGTTGATATTTTGCAGATAAGGAAATTTAGACACAAAGAGATGATCTTTTCTAAAGAATCAGCATTTTCTTGCTTGGCACTAATGATAAAGTTTCACCTACTGATACTTTATTTGATTTTCTTTTCCTGTAAATGGGAATGGGTCAGAACCCCCTATGAATGCTACTCTTCCTGCTGACTTGACCCAGAATAAACTGAGAATCCAGTACCCAGGAAGAGACTGGCTTTTCAGTATTGCATCACAGTAGATCACAATAGATCACAGTAGGGATCTCTTCTTCATTTGATGTCACTGATGTCTTCCTTAAATAAAACTCCTAGACAAGATTCTAGTGGGCCATGATCTCAAGACATCTCTGGTGCAATTTCCTTAATTATGCTGGAATATTAAGAGGATGTTGCTGGCATGTGATGAGAACTGCCCATGACTAAACTCATGCAAACAGGATAAGGTCTCTTTCATTCAATAAGTTCATTGGTGGGCTGGGTAGCAAAGCTTCCTTAGGACACTTAGAAGGACAGATACTTGCCTCAGACAATCACTTGACTAGATGCCAGTGCAGATGGTCAATTGCAGTTGCATTTCTCACCTGAATAAAAACAACAGCTCAAGTCTCAGTCTGGACTTTGGCAAACCACGGGAAATTAAATGCAAATGAAATTTGCAAGCATGACAAAAATGAGGGCAAGAGGAATTAAGTTCCAAGAACAAAAATGTAGCATTTTTCATGCTAACCCTAGGAGGCCAACTTAATCAAATTTTCAGCTCAGACTGATAATGACCCTGGTGGCCAGTTTCTTTACAGAGCTTTGCGATGGCAAAAGCAGAGAGAAAAGCAGGTGATGAAGGGGTGGGGGAATTAGCTTTTCACATTTTTGTTCCAGGGATTTGCCATTTTTTAATGCTAGCAAATCTTCTGAGTTTAATTACCTTTGCTCATGTTTCCATGCCAAACTTGATTACCTTAAGCAGAGGTGAGTCTGCTTATAACCATCTGTATATGAAGACCCATGGCTTGAACTCTGAATGGCTAAACTTCACTCAGGATGACCAGTAGATGTCAAATATGATCATCAATGGATTTCAATGAATTCTGAGAATTAAACATTTCCAGTTCCAGCAGATCACGTTCTTTGTAACAGGAACTACAGTGTTTAATTTTTTAGACCATCAAAAAAAAAAAAAATCCAAGAGGAAGTGAAATTATATCCAGTGGTCTTTGCAATACCATAAAGAAAAAAAAAAAAGTAAGATGCATCTCACTCCACAATGGCCCTGAAGTCAGATTATGTTTCCCTCCTTGAAACCCTGGAGGACCTATCTAATTTTTAGCAAACTGAGGGCCTCTAGAATCAACTTATGAGAACAAGAAATGATGGCGAGATAGATGATGTAGACTGAGACATTTCACCCTATTCCATTCCATTTCAGAAAAATTCATTAGAAAGACCTCTGGCCGCAAGATCTGAGTACAGGTGTCTACTCTGCCACTCATTGATGTGTGTTACTAGGAAGTTAATTCACTGCTCTACATCAGTTTTCACAACTTTCAATAAGACCTGCCTCAACAGATAGTTGGGTACATTCTAAACTTTGCAGCAATAGTGAAAATATGATGAAAATTTCAGCATAATATTATTAAATTGCTGCAAATGATCATGATAGGCCCTTTGAAGACTGAGATGAAGGAGTCTGGCCCTCCAGGGTGGTCCCATATTTAATATAAGTGCAATAAAAGCCAAACTTCAAAGTATCAAGGAAGATCTCTGAGAAGTTTTGTTAACTGATTTTTTGGTAGGATCCTAGCTTCTAAAGGAAACCAAATGTGTTTTCACGAGCTAAAATTAAGGGAATCTGTTCCACTCAGTCATTATTCTATCATTCAAGACATACCCCAGAACTATTATTTGTACTTAAAATGCTCTTCAGCTTGCCAGCCGGCCAGGAGCTACCTGTCAAAGTAAATCACAGGTAGTGGTTCATATAGCAGGTGGTATGAGCCTATCTGGCCCACAGCAGCTTTGCTGAGTGACTGATAGCCTTCTCTCTCAATTTCACCAAGCCAAAAGACTACTAATGATGCATCAAAAGGCCACAGTAAACTGTCTTGAAAATAGAAATTGTTGTACTAGAGAAAAGCTTGCCTGACTTTATTGGCAATCCTAGATATCATGACTTCCAACTCTAAGAGTTTATGATAGACAAAAATGTAAGCAAAACAAAAAAGAAAAAAGAAAGCCAATTAAAATAAAACACAGGGCCGGGCAAGGTGGCTCATACCTGTAATCCCAGCACTTTGGGAGGCCGAGGTGGGTGGATCACAAGGTCAGGAGTTCGAGACCAGCCTGACCAACATGATGAAACCCCCTCTCTACTAAAAATACAAAAATTAGCCAGGCGTGGTGGTACATGCCTGTAATCCCAGCTACTTGGGAGACTGAGGCAGGTGAATCACTTGAACCTGGGAGGCGGACATTGCAGTGAGCCGAGATTGCGCCACTGCACTCCAGGCTGGGTGACAGGGTGAGACTCCATCTCAAATAAATAAAATAAAATAAAGTAACACAGATGAGCAGAGACCAACAATGTTATCTTATGTACCCTGACATATGCACAGTCAGCCCTTACAAAAGAGAGCTTTCATATACAGAATCTCATGCGACCTCCATGGTACCTCAAGATTAGCTTATTTCCATCTTATTAAAGAGGAAACTGAGGATTGGAACTTATCCACAATCAGAGATCCATTAAGTGATGAAGCTTTTGCTACCCCAAGTATCAGAGTCAGGGTGGGACTTCCAGTCCAGTTTTTCTTATTCTTGGCCAGAGAAAAGGATAGCACATGCAAGGTTATAACCAATACTTGGACCAACACTTACAGAAAATGGGGTTGCTGATCCATGTCACGTTTTTCTAAGTGTTGGGTCAGCTCAGGAAGAACAAGCTTTGGAAATGTTATCTCAATCCTCTTTGTGCAAGCTGAGGTCCTCAGAGGTTACTATGAAAGAGGGCAAAGATATAAAGGGAATTGAAAACTAATCTTCAACTTGAAAAACAATGAGAATAGTCATGTAGATCATAGAGAGAAATAATGATTACCTTTGATTCCTAGAGAAAGTTAATTTAAAGTGTAATCCAAGTTCCACTGTACAGCCAAAAAAAAAAAAAAAATCTGCAAAGTTGAGATACATCTTTAGTAGATGGAAACAAGTCACAAGGGTCACCTCTCTTGAATATTGGGAAGATGCTCATTCACAATAATTGGGGGAAAGAAAGGTTTTGGAGATTAACTGACCTTGGTTTAGGATACACAGTGTTTTTTAAATGCAAATGATATTTGGTATCATGATAAAAGGCAAAATCTGTCCTGAATGACAGTCTCTAAGGAAATGCACTCAATAGTCAGAAAACCACCAATTTGATTGCTTATGTTTTTGTGTTTACCAAATTAGAATCTGTAACTATTTAAAGCAAATCCTTAGGATCCATGTCCAATGGAATCTTTCAAGTTCATGTGCACTTTGAAAGTATAGATATCTGTGGTCCGTGAAATAATATAGGCATAAAACTTTGTTGGTTTATAAATGGGTTTAGCACAACAAAAGAAATTAATTACACAAGCCCAGATGTAGCACTGACACCCATTTTAGGAGCGGTACCTTAGAACTACACCATATTTTTGAAACCTGTGACATCAGGTTTGTACATTGTTTTTTTAGGGTGGTCTTTGTGACCTTAGAGGCTTTATCTGGAAGAATATAATTCCACCTACTGAGGCTGTAGACTTATTATTGCTTTTATAATATTTATTATTGCTAATAAATATTCACTTATAAATGTTTACTGTGCATCTACCGAGTTCTAGGTAGTAGGAGCCTTTGGTATGGGAGGTATTGTGCTCCACTCATTCCAAGCACATTTTCTCACAGCCTAGTACTTACTAGCCCTTGTACTTAAAGGCACAAAGACAAAGGATATTCAGTATTACTATCCTCAGGCTGCTTCCTGCATTTCATTCCCTAAAACTATCTGCCTCAAAACCCAATAGCCTCACAGAACTGCTTTCTAGTACCAGAAAGTGTCATATTCTCTTGTACTCCGGGTTCTTTGTGTATACTTTCCCCTACCTTGAGTGCCTTTCCTTTTATGGCTGCCTGGAGCCCTTTATTTATTTATTTATTTATTTATTTATTTATTTTTGAGACGGAGTCTCGCCCTGTCGCCCAGGCTGGAGTGCAGTGGCCGGATCTCAGCTCACTGCAAGCTCCGCCTCCCGGGTTCACGCCATTCTCCTGCCTCAGCCTCCCGAGTAGCTGGGACTACAGGCGCCCGCCACCTCGCCCGGCTAGTTTTTTGTATTTTTTTTAGTAGAGACGGGGTTTCACCGTGTTAGCCAGGATGGTCTCGATCTCCTGACCTCGTGATCCGCCAGTCTCGGCCCAAAGTACTGGGATTACAGGCTTGAGCCACCGCGCCCGGCCCCCTTTATCTTTTAAGAGCAGCTCAAGCAAAACATCCTGGGTGATGGCCTCCACCTGTAGCTTGATGGCACTTGGTATATACCTTGAGGAAGAGCCCTTGTCACCTTTGAGTCTATTACTTACCTTTGAGTCTTCCATCAGATCTGAGCTCCCTGAAGGCAGTTCATGGATGGCCCGGAGGAGAGGTGCTTGGTAAATATTTCTTTGATTGACCCAATTTAAGGATACTCAGTAAAAAATCTTGACCAGATAGGGCAGTGCAATGCATATATGTAAAACTTGACATAGTTTTTGTGACTTTGAGGTATGATGTGTACATTTCTTTATGCAAGAAATGAGAGAAGTAGCAGCCATGTAAACATTCATCCAGTTCTTTAAGTTGAAGTCAAGTTGCAGAACCAAGACGGCAGATATTAATTGGATTTTGAAGATATGCTGAGATATCAAACCTTGGCGAGAAAAATGATGGTGTCTCACAGACCTCATAGGCAGAGAGAAATATGCCAAAATGATTTATAGCTGCATTTATTCCCAAGGTGATTCAGTGTCAAAGGTCAGATAACATATATTCTTTGCTATATTTATAGTGTTTCAAAGTGAGTTTTAAGAGGAGGTGGTCTCCAGTTACAGCAGAGATATCACATTGAATGTTAAAGAGGGAGAGTCCCAACATGATACGAAAACTTGCACTGCATAGTTGCAAAAAGCTTAAAATTGCCAAATAATCCCATTCATTACAAGAAATCAAATATGATTTTTATAATATTCAATAATGGATGTCAATAATATAATTCATGTGTTTGGCATTCTCGCAAGGCTTAATTATACTCTCAAAGTTTTTTTTATCAAAATATCATCCTAGGGTGTGAAAATTTACCTCCTAACAAAACTTATTTCCTGACCCAGCCATGGTGATGATGCCAGATTAATTGTGCTTTTCATTTTGTGCCTAATTGCATTTCGACATAAATGTCATTAGGTTGATAACACTTTGCAGAGTTTTAAAATTTATAAATATTCATGTAAAGAATGCAGAAAGTATTGATTCTGCAGATGCCTGGCTGAGAGTGGTCGTCACATGAGAGTGCTTTTAAACAGAGGCATGTTATGGAATGCATTTTCAAACCAGGCTTAGGTTATGTTCCATCTGAATTTGAACCTACTTCATTCAAATCCCTATAAGCAAATATTTGATTTGCTGTAAACATTTTACTAGGCTTTGTTGGGACATGATGCCTGACACTAAGTTTTAATAGCACAGTAGTGTGAAAGTTTACTCTTGAATCTGTGATTTTCTTTTTACTGTCTTGTCTCCCTGAAAGCAATCACTTAGAAATGGATTTGAACACATAACATTAAGAGACTTCTTTCATTGACCTTCCAAGTTTACTAGTCTCATTATTGACCCGAAAAAGTAAATCACCTGTTCTTTGAATTAATGTAACTTAAACCAACTTATATCCCCAATTATTTTGAAGCAGTTCTACAAAATGTTTATCTTTAATATTTAAAGTCACATTTAAGTTGGTCAGAAAAGGAGACCAAATATAATTATTATTTGCATTTGGAATACCATTGTGAAAACAAAGATGGGAAGAAATAGAATAATAAACTAATAAAAGCCCTATGATATTGACATAGGAAACAGACCAGTCCACATTATTAAGCAATTATTCCCCTCTCATGATGTGACCTCACTACTTTCTCTCATCAGAATCTTTGAAGTAAGACAGTTCTTGCTACAAGTTTGAATTTACTTCTAACCTGTATATCCTAAAAGTATTTTTTAACCAAAAGGTTGACTTAAAATATTTTCATCTGACTCCCTTTAAAACCAAAGGCATCAACTTAGAAAGGAACAAAAGAGAATTTTTAATGGATTGAGATTAAATCTATCATTTTTACCCAGGGAAAATTCCTTCTTATTTATTCTTAGTCAGTCTCATGTAAAAAGAGTATTAAAGTGATGAGCTCCAGTGTTTTGACAAGCACTTGTACTACAAAAACTTGAAATCTCACTGGAATACAGTTACATATTCACTGGGAGGAAAGAATGCCCTATTTAAAAACTAGGACAGATCAAGTTGATAGGGAAAAAGGAAATAACTATGTGAACAATATACCCTAAATTAAAGACCGAGTTGCTGGCATCCGTCTAAAGTCAACAGAAAATGTCATTACTCTTTGGAAGTACTCTTATCCTGTCTTACAATACTAAATGGACAAAAGAGAGAGAGAGCACAAGACATTATTCGTATTCAGAATTCTATTACACAAACAAAGATGGGAAGAAACAGAACAGTTATCTAAGTCCCATGTTATCAATGTAGGAAAGAGAAAGACCGGTCTACATTATTAAGCAATAGTTTTCCCCCTCCCGTGGTATGACCTCACTGCTTACTCTCTTGGGATCTCTCTAGAGAGAGGTCTCTCTATTTGATAAGTACAATAGGAGGTTCAGAGAAACTCAAAAGATAATGTTTTACTCAAAGCCACCACATGACTTGAATAACGTATTCCATGTTCTCTACTGTATATTTTTCCATAGTTTGGAATGCCCTGTTCCACATGGATGAGGATGCTTGCCATAGCAAGTGTTGTTTTCCACTGTCTTGTAATGTTGCTTAGGCTGAAACAGGGTGATGATAATATTCTTTCAGAGTACATTTTCTTTAGTGAGAGCCTAAAGCAATACAAAAGCCTCTGTGGTGAATCCATTATTATTCTTATGCCACCCCACTCATGTGGTTGGTTCACACATCACACAATACATCATCATTTTATCTAATCTATTTATTTGAACACCTTTGGCATTTATTGGTATTCTTGGGTATAACCAGCATTGAAATTAATCTTTAGATCTTTGTGGTCTTTCACTGACCCTTTCTCTGCTTTTGTGTGATAAGTAAAGTTGGTTCAGTGTTTCTCAAAGGCAGAACCATGAGCCACAAATCATCAACATATTATCAATCCCTACCAGTAAATCTATTTATTTTCTGCAGAGAAAGAACCAAGACAATTCAGCCAGTAAACCCATTTATTTTCTGCAGAGAAGGAACCAAGACAATTTTGAGTTAAAGATGGTAAGGCCATCTGTTGCTATTTCAATGGATACATTTTAGTGTACACTTCTTTGAAGGTATTTAGTAAAAATAAACCAGAATAAATATTTCACTAGGTTTGCCTTTACTAAGCATCCCTCTTCTTTCCTTGTAGGTTTTCCACATTGCCTTCTAAACCCACAGTAGGAAATCATACATTGAGAAATACTGTGAAATAGTTTCTCACCACTGGTAGTTTTAAAGTAGAGCATGTGTCAGAATGACCAGCAACAGCTCTCTGCAATTACTGGCTAGCTGTTCAGGAAGACAAATGTGTACATACTCATAAACACATTCTTTAGAAAATTAAGCAGGCATACGACCAATGGCAGCTGCTGGCACTAAGCTTATCAAATAGATCATATTTGAAAATTTATTTCTTCCTATAGATATATTTTCAGGTAATCATGCACAGTTTCCATGGAAACATTTCTAATTCTCATTGGAGACAAGAACACATAAATAAATAAGAATTAGATTGTTTTCTTACCTTTTGGAAAGCAGTCAAAAGCTATACTGTTGGTGGGATAGTGTACCAAGTAACAGACTTTTGTACACTCTTTCTTACTGGTGGTATACAGTCTACAGGAAAAGTAAATATATAGGTATGTATAAAATAAATGTGCACATGATATTACGTTTTATTATTATTATTTTCCTTTTGGGAAAAGGCTGCGATAGAGACCATACACATTATGCCCACACTTTCGGTGGGTTCAGTAGCCTTTGGTAGACCAGGTCACCTCAATTCAGGTACCTCTGAACATGGGAGTACTGGTGCCTCTTGAGTTAAGGGAGTTGGGTTTTACTTGCTTGAGTTGGAACAGCTGAGGGAACCAGCCCAAACATAATTTATCTATCTGCTTAGAGCATTATTTTCTTCTTCTTGCCAGCCCTTTTTTCTCAGCCTAGTCCAGTCATGCTGTCCAGCCTGTGTGGTTAGTCCAAGAGGATGAAACAAGTAACATAATGTTGAGAATGTTAGGGATCCAAACAAATGGAGAAGCAAAACAAAACAAGAACCATAACAAATTAACACAGCACAGAAGTGTGTTCTAGAATTTTCTAGGAACCATTATTTGTGTAGAGTTTTGGTGCCCACATCCATTTTCCAGCAGCCTGAGTTTTCTTTCTTTTCTTTTTTTTTTAAATAACATACCTCCTTATGTTGACAGTCCTATTTTATGTAATAAATTTATTTTGTTGAGAACAGCACAAGTTGTTATTTATGTATTTTCCTTATTGTAGATGCAAAAATGGTAGCACAAGAAAAACACCATCAGAATACAATTCCATACCTTATTTTGTATTTTAGGTGCAAATTGTTATTCTTCTAACATGTGCTTCATCATACAACGTGTTAATTGGCTTAAACCAGTCTTTTATGTAGTCTATGTCCATTTTCTATCCCAGAGTGAGTTCATCAGTCATATATCTCCACATCCAAAAAAAAGGTTGTCCCTCGCTGTCCACCTGCCTGCCATCTCTAGTTGCTGCTGACCTGCCAGAATAAACTCTCTGTATCTAGCTAAGATCCTTGAAGTATTTCTCTGCACTGCTTGCAGGGCTTTAGCTTAGAAAATGGATGGTAGCTTAAAAGAAAGGTAGCTTAGGACCAGGCCTCTCTTCACTATGCACTGTGATCTTTTACCAAAGAAAGCATGAAAGCCAAAGACAATTTACAGAATATCATCTGGTTGATACCAGTCCAGGTGAAGAAGGCTGTGGTTCTTATCCACCCATCCCAATAAAGCCATGCTGCCTCTTTCTTAGTTAATATTATCCATCCAACTTGAAAAGGATCGTCGTGGCCATCAGTAAGCCAAGCACAACCACGGCATCTTGTTTATCTGGCATCTACAAGTTTGCCATGAACATACATCTGCCAAGTGAACTGTAGAAAGTGCAGGGAAACATTCCAAATTCAGGATGCAGGTGGGAGAAACAGTGTGAGGTACCCTTCTTCTTAGACAGGAATGTGAGAAGGCATCATCTTGACCAGATATACAGCTATCCAAATGAGGCCAGGTTCTTTTAAACTTTTAGCAATGGAAGTCTTATTTGCATAAATAAAATTCAGTAAGTAGCTGAGCTACAGCCCTATGCCCTCTGAGCTTGCTGTTTTTCAATCTAAGTGCAGAGACCAGCAAGAATTGGCCCAACTCTGAATATCTAATATGCCAGCAGTGCACAGATACATTGAAATTTTGAGATTTACTTTTCATTTATTCCACACATAATGGAGTTTTTCTTTCATACAATGGACTGTTAGCTAAGGAAGCAAACTAACAGGATAATTGTATTTCTTCAGGAAAAAAATATGGTAGTATAAATGTCTTCCTATATTAAGTTAGCAAGCAAATTCATTTTTATGTAGACATGTAGTTGCAGTGTGGAGTTGGATGAGTAGAAGCATGCATGCACCAGATGGCAAACTGCAGTGATGGAGCAGAGCTGTTAAAAATGAAAACACTGAAGATTGAAATACATCGAGACTAAGTGTTTAGAGCAACAATGAATAAGAGGACATTTCTGTTCCACTATTTACTTTGCAGCTCATAGTATAAACTCTACTTCCTCTCAGACATCCTCCCTCAGAAAAAAATTGTACAGAATTTGCCTATTGGAGAGACAAATTCCTTTTTCAAGTGCATGAGCTGTTTTTGTTTGTTTTTAACCAGTCAGCTTAAATTCAGAAAATAATGTCATTTGTCTCTGTTATGACAGTTAAGATACTGGAGATAATTTTAGCTATATTTGGCATTAAACAGAATATTATAATGTTACCTAGCATAGCATAGTCATGTCTGTTTTTATTAATTGAATTTTTCACTATTGTTCTTTTTCTATTACATGTATTTTTGCCTTGCTGGGGACTGGTTTTTCAAACGTCATTGCTGTCTATGATGTTACTTTTTCCCTATTAGTGGCTCATTTTGAGATCATTTTAAATGACTATTTGTTTGTATGTTTGTCTTATCTCAAATGTTTTATTTCTTTGAGTTGACTTTGTCCTAGATCAGTATCAACGCTAAAACTTTGGAAGCTATATCCAATGTGGACTCAACTTGAGTTTCCTAGAATAAAATCCTTGTCAATTTCTAGAGCTACACTGTCCAATACAGTAGCCACAACCACAAGTGTGTGTTTAAATTTAAATGCAATGTAAATAAAGTTTACTTAATTAAAAACTAAGTAAAATAACAAATGTATTTCTTCAGTTGAGTAGCCATATTTGCTTACTCTATTAGACATCACACACACAAAACATGACCATCACTGCAGAAAGTACTAGTGGACAGCTTTTGTGCAGATAAGCTCTTTGGATTCTTTTCTGGGACCCTTCAGAGCTGGGTCATCAGAAACCCCAATGTTTGGAGGTACATGAATCTCCTCCTATGGTTTAGCAAATATCTAGTTAAGTTTTCATGGTGTTTTAGGGTGTGTCTACACAATAGCAAAAGAGCTAAAGCAATTAAAAAAATCTTTCCAACTGGTAGTGAGAAAAAGGCTCTATTTCGTTTTATTTTTCTGTATTGTTTACCTTGGCTCTATGTAGACACTTAGAGCAACAACAAAAACCCTATGAAATTTTTTCAAGGAAAGAGATACCAAATGAATTCCAAATGGAATCACTGGAATATAATTTTTGAATTAATTAGATGAGGCCTCTACCTGGGCAGCCTTCTTTGAGCTCAGGTTACTCCTGTTTTTGTAGACAAAACAAGCAATAATACGTTACAGTATGTTTAAAGAATCTCTCACCAAACATCATTATATTCAGCATATACAAACTATATAACCAAATAACGAAACCAAAAGAGTAATTCCTGCATTGGAATTTTGACATGCCATTCATATTCTAAGAAACAGAGGAGCAAAGAGGAACAAGCGTGGGCTGAAGAGTCAGACCTGGGTTTTAGTCCAACTTCTGCTGTTAACTACATGTGTGGCTTTGGTAATGTTACTTAATCTTGTGAAGCCAAGGTTTCCTCAGTAAAATGAGAATAACAACATCTATTCTATAGACATACTGTGAGGAGTAAGTGAGATATTCCACACAAAGCATTCCGCATAATGCCTATTTCAAAGAGTATTTTATGCTAGCATTAGCATTAATGTCAGTGTTAGCATTTTAACAACCAATGTCATACCCAAAAAAAGCCTCAACAAGGATTGCACCTTATCATTAAATAGCAACAGTAGTAATGTTTTTTGAAAGTTAATAATTCTTAAATAGCATAGTATCGAATTGTCTAAACTTAAAACTTCTAATTTCGTCTTTTTTTCCCCAGTACAATTACTTCCAATTATGTTTTCTGTTTATTGACTTTGAACAGTATCTAGTTAAATTGTGTGTGTGTGTACAAAAATAAAGCTGTTATTGGAATATTTGCAAGATAAAGGTTTTATGAAATGCAAATTTGACAAAACAAACTATAATTAAAAGCCACTAATTATAAATATACATATATATTTAACAACACAGGTATAGGTATAATAGATGCACACATATGTTCATGTAAATTCTTTTTCTTCTTCTTTTTTTTTTTTTTTTTGAGACAGAGTTTTTCTCTTGTAGCCCAGGCTGGAGTGCAATGGTGCAATCTCAGCTCACTGCAACCTCTGCCTCCTGGGTTCAAGCGATTCCCCTGCCTCAGCCTCCTGAGTAGCTGGGATTACAGGCAGGCACAACCACGCCTGGCTAATTTTGTATTTTTAGTAGAGATGGGGTTTCTTCATGTTGGTCAGGCTAGTCTCGAACTCCCGACCTCAGGTGATCCACCCACCTTGTCCTCCCAAAATGCTGGGATTACAGGAGTGAGCCACTGCACCCAGCCGTAAATTCTTCTTTTGAGGATTTAGTTTTATCTATCCTGTGATGTTTAATGTACATTTAACTGCACCTTTATATCTACTATATCTTAATAAATTATGCTGAAATTTATTTCTAAGCAAAGCTTTTTGCCTCTTCAGGAATGGAAGGACACTGACATTTAGCTGATATAGTATTTTCTAGACATCATATTTCATGACACACTTATGACAAAGTCATTCTCTCTTTTATACATAATTTTATTGAGTTTTAGAAAAGCTCAGTGATTCTTAAAGCCACATGGCTAGTAAATGGAGTGGTTTAGATTTGAACCCAGGTATGTCTCAACCCAAAGCCTCTTCCTACATCACACTGAATGCCACAGCAAGTCACCATCCACTTGCCCTCCTCTCAACTGGCCACTTGCTCTGGAGACACAACACAGCCTATCATTCATTCTGTTCCTCCCTTCTCTCAGTATGTTCCTTTAGCCTTGTCCTAGGATGTTTTCTGTCAAAAGTCAAAGTGGGGCCCACAATGTTGTTAATTAACTATGTTACTTTGTCTACATATATTCAAAATATTTCACAACATTCACTCAACTATTCGTAAATAGAGATAGGTCAAAATCACAGTTCTTTGTGTGTAGTGTTTGTCAGGAGCAAACCCAGTTGGCTTCTTGGTTTTTATTAAAGATATCTCTCTTATTTCCAGAGCAAAAAGGATTTCCTCAAGAGTATTTAAAACTGAGACTTCCTTCTGTTTGGCATTAAGCCTTTGACAACAAGATCAGCTTCTAACTGAAATATAATATGTCATGAATGACTTAATGGATAACCTGAAATCCCTTCTGCCTTAAACAGAATAAGTATCACAAATATTTGAATCTGCCTCATTCTACATGCAACTAGCCAAAATATTCCTGGAAAACAAATCTTAAAACTAGTATTTTAAATCTGAAATGTACTCTTACCACCATATTGTTAGTAAAGCTAGCAATTAGGAATTCTAAGCATTTAATTTTTGAGCTGGTCTTGTGTTATTTACAAAGTGATAGCTATATGCCCATTTTACCTGGCATGACTATATGCCCATTTGCAGGCATGACTAAAGGGTCCTAGAGTTTTGCAGATATGCCATATAATAGCATCTTAAATCCAACGTTTTTTTCCTTAATTTCTTCCCTAAGGTTTGTCTTGCATAGAATAAAACTCTTCTCCAGTGGTATGGTAGACATTGTTTTTCCCACAGGACAATGCCATTGTCATGGTAGTATCTGGTCCTGTGTACTTGGATTAAAGTTTGACAACTTTTTCCAATTTTTATATGTTTCTAGAAGACCTGATGAATAAAAAATAACTTTTTCAACATTCACATGCTAAAGGAAAAAAGTTATGCTTCCAAAATTCTAATTTATTCCAGTTTTATTCCTACCAGTACAGTTCATTAGGTATGGAAGTTTCCCTGACAAAAAAGTTGTTGCCTTAACAGGAAGGGTGCAAGAAAGAACAACCTGACAGGTGCATTTGTCAGTTGGAGGTTTCAGTACCAGAGGACAAGAAGCAAGGGAAGGGGGTGGCTTCACACTTCTGAAGCAGAGCCTCCAAAAGCTCCTTTCCAACAGGGAACATAAAGAAAATGGTGGCAGGAATGAGTCAAACTCAAAAGAGCAGAAGTTAGCATTCACCATGGCAACCCAGTCCATATGACAAGAACGATCACAGTAGTTCTCCAGAGAGGCAAGCACACCCACCCCACCTCTTCTAAAGTTTCTTGATGCAGGATGGGAAGATGAAAGAAAAGGAGAGTTACTTACTGTTTGGGTCTACATTTTCACAGAGCTCTGTCTTTGCCTCACCGTTGGGTCTGTCACTGGGTTTGTGTGACAGCCTCGATGACATGGTGGCTGCTGTGACTACCGCCTTGAAGCTTCGCTTCCGTTTCTGGACATTGAGTTCAGGGTGGAAAATGATGATGTATACTTTCGGCATGTATAGCATCCCCAGCGCCACTGACGCACTTAGGTTCATGGAGATTGTAAGCGTGGTAGTTTGTATGTAGAGCTAGGAGACACAACACACAAGGCACTATTACAAATAAAATGACTGCAGAGGGGGTCTGAACACTTAAAGCGATGTCAAGAATGACTATGGCTAAGATAAAAGCAATCTTCAGGAGTTTTGATAAATAAAGGACAATGACTCTGCACAGTTATTGGAGAGTATATGCATATATTAATTGATTGAATGCTGTTGAATCAATCCATGCACTAGAGAAGTCTCCTATATTAAAGTTCAGAGTAGTCTTGCCCTAGAGAAGTCTCCTATATTAAAGTTCAGAGTAGACCTTTAATCATAGTTGAAGGACTTCTAATCAGAGTGTCAGCTAAATATAAAGACATGAAGACCACAGAAATCTGTAATCTTGATTAAGGTGTAGTTAAGTTTTATCTTTCATACATGTAAAAGAAGGTTCACGCTCCATGATTTCTTCCTACATTGAGATTCTGAGGCCTTTTGAGAAGTCTTTATCTTAATATATGTCTCTTTTTATATTGTTTTCTAGAAAGGCATACCTTTTCCCTATTTGCCGAATAGTGAGTTGAGTTTCTCTGAAAACTAAGACCTTCTTGTTTAATTCTGTCTTACAAACCACAAATGACAAGTGAACAAGACCTAGTGATGTTGGCTTGTCCACTCTTTATATTGTCAAATTACTAATGAGATGCAAAATTGTATTCTGGAGTTGGGTTACTTGCAGTTTGGATGGTGCCCCTATTTCTGTCCTTGTCTCCTATTGTTTTCTCAAGAAATCAGATCAACTAATTGCTTGCTGTCCAGTGTAAATATGAACAATTGATGGTAGAAGAACGTAGGGAAGTGTGTGATCCATAAGAGTAAAGCTATAGGCAACTTGCCTTGGTCTAGTTGTCTATAATATGCCCTACCATGATCTAGGACTCCACCACCCCACCCACAATGTGTTCAGTCATACTTGTGTTTTGCATGACTTCTAAAGGCTATTTAAATGGAACAACCAGCAACCATTGCCTTTTCTGTCCATGGAAAGCCTAGTTCCTTGACAATGGATTCAATTATGGTATTCCACAACTATGCCTTCTTATTGACTGATGATAAAACCCCCATTCTTAAGGGAGTTCACAAGGCCCCTCATGGTTTGTGCTGGTCTACTTTTTTAGACTAATTGTCCACTACTTCCCACCTCCCTGACCCCCTGATCCCCTGTCTTGCCTTCCCAGGGTCCCATCCATTTGTGCCGTCCTTTAGTTCGTGAATGAACTGTACTCATTCGAATAACTTTTCTCCATGCCCCTTTTCTTTATTTTTGTTTTCCTATGTATGGAATGTTCCTTCTTTTCTTCTTAGCACATCCATCCTAGGCTGCCCTCACAGCCTCAAGTCTAGGCCAGCTTCTTTACTGATACGCTCTCAAAGGACTTCTTTAGATCATTTGTCTCCATTGCAATTATGCACTCAGTACCTTGATCATTTTTCTGCCCATTTTCCGGCTAGGTCTTAAGTTCCATGAAGGCAGGATCTGTCTCTCTGGGACATTATTATGTCTGCGAAGAAGGCACTTGATAAATATACAATGGATAGGCTCATGTGTTTGTCTAATGGACACCTTTTTCCTACCTATAACTCACTGGTTAAACAGCCTATCTCTAAATATACAAAAATTTCCATTAGACATATTGGCTGCCTGGACATTTCTGATCTTAATTCTTCAAACTGAGGCCATACTGAAATCAAAGACAACTTTGCCATCTTGGCTGGAAAAAAATACAGTTTTCTAGCCAACATTAATTTGAATATGGATGTCTCCAAATGGTTAAAAGGAGCTACCAGCTGCTGACTATAATACATAATGAATGTAACACAGAAAGACAAAACAATGTTGAATTAATGACTCTTTAAAGTGTGAATTAGTTCATATTTTTAAAGCTCATATTTCCCTACTAGCATACCCTTAAACTTTTAATGTCATTCCACCCTGCCAGCCTACACTGTTCAAGAAAGGCTTAACATGGTCATAGGGCGTTATAGACATAGGCAATTTTTGTCACCACTATCACTGTACTTATGAGAAATTTGCAAACCATGGCTTAGATCAAAAAGGAAAGGGATGTCAGCAAACCAATGGGATCTTAAGTTTTGTTTCTGTTTTTCTGCTCATGAGTGAATTTTGCAGTTTATGAAATTATTCAGACTTATTAATGTAATTATAAATTATACAAGCATATATGCTTATGTATATTTGTATGTGTGTATACATATGTTTTCTTTTTTCAACTTTTAGATTCAGGGGTACATGTGCAGGTTTATTACGTGGGTATGTTACGTGATGCTGAGGTTTGGGGTATGAATAATTCCACACCCAGGTACTGAAGATGGTACCTAATATTTAGTTTTTCAACCCTTACTCACTCTTCTATTAGCCCATAGTGTCTATTGTCATCTTTATCTCCATGACTACCCAATGTGTAGCTCTTCCTTATAAGTAAGAACATATAAGGGATGTGATTTTCTGTTTGTGTTAATTCACCTAGAAAAATGGCCTACAGTTCGACATGGTTTTGTTCTTTTTTATGGATGCATAACATTTCATGGTATAGATGTACCACATTTTCTTTATCCAGCCCACTGTTGATGCACCTAGGTTGATTCCATGTCTTTGCTATTGTGAATAGTGCCGTGAGGACATGCGTCTTTTGGTAGAACAACTTGTTGTCTTTTGAATGTGTACCCAGCAACATACATACTTTTTCTTAACAAAGACTACTTAGCAATTTAGGACTCTACAACTATGATGTTTATTTTATGAAGTGTTTATTTTCATCATTTTTAAACTGGAGACCATCAAGACTTTGATTTTCATTTAAAAAATTTTTACAGTCTCTGGTAACACTTCAAAAGTATGTGAAAACTGAAATAAACTTCACTAATCATATTTTTTCTACAGCCCCTCCACCCCTGAATCCTCTTTACACACATAGTGGATAAGAATGCAGATTCTAGAGCTAGCCTGAGTTCAATTCCCATTTACTAGTTTTGTGACCTTGGACAAATTACTTCCCCTCAGCCTCTGCATCTGCAAAATGGGCATAATAGTACCTACCTCATAATGCTGTCTTGCTTGATGATTAAATAAGTATTTATAAAGTGTTTAGTATAGGGCCTAGCACATAGTATTAATAAGTAATAAGTAAGCTTTTTTTTTTTTTTTTTTTTTTTTTTAAGACAAAGTCTCCCTTTGTTGCCCAGGTTGGAGTGCAGTGGCGTGATCTTACCTCACTGCAACCTCTGCCTCGTGGGTTCAAGTGATTCTCCTGCCTCAGCCTCCCGAGTAGCCGTGACTACAGGCATGTGCCACCATGCCCAGATAATTTTTAGTAGAGATGGGATTTCACCATGTTAGCCAGGATGGTCTTGATCTCCTGACCTTGTGATCCTCCCACCTCAGCCTCCCAAAGTGCTGGGATTACAGGTGTGAGCCACCACACTCAGCTGTATTTTTAAATAAGTATCGTCATGCATCACTTAATGACAGAAATGTGCTCTAAGAAATGCATTATTAGGTAATTTGTTATTGTGCAACCATCACAGTGTACTGACACAAATCTTGGTGGCATAGTCTACTAAAGTCTTAGGCTATACAGTTTAACCTATTGCTCCTAGGCTACAAACCTTTACAGCATGTTACAATACTGAATACTGTAGGCAATTGTAATACAATGGTATTTATGTATCTAAATATAGTTAAACATAGGCCAGGTGCGGTGGCTTACGCCTGTAATCCCAGCACTTCGGGAGGCCGAAGTGGGCAGATCACCTGAGGTCAGGCGTTCAAGATCAGTCTGGCCAACATGGCAAAACCCTACCAGGTGTGGTGGCAGGTGCCTGTCATCCCAGCTACTCAGGAGGCTGAGCCAGGAGAATCACTTGAAGCTGGGAGGCAGAGGTCGCTGGGAGGCAGAGGTCGCAGAGAGCGGAGATCGCACCACTGCACTCCAGCCTGGGGGACAGAGTGAGACTCCATCAAATAAATAAATAAATAAATAAATAAATACAAAGAATAAGCATGATTAAAAATAATCTGTTTATCAAAATCTCATTATGTGGCACATGACTATATGTAGGTATGAAGGCTAAGAAGGCTTTAGTCTACAGAGATCTCAGAGGTATTGGTCCACAGGGACCTGCTCCCACTAAGTCTAGAAGGGAAGCTAGGCTGCTGACTCTTTGGCTTTTGGTGAGGTGGGAGGCTCACATTGAAGTTACGAGTTTTCATCCCACCATCTTCTTTAGTACATTCTTTAGTAAATTATGGCATATCTATATTTAGTCCCATGGTTGTTCTTATTTTACCTGATGCTTATTGTATAATGCACTACCCTGTTTAAGGTTAGGCATTTCACATCACTTTCCTTTATTTGTAATTTCTTTAGAAATGTAACAGTTGATGATCATTATCAGTTCCTTTTGTCAAAGTAGAGGTAAAGGAGTTCTTATGTACAGAGTTTTACTGAGACCAAGGGCTGTCCTCCAACTGAGCCTAATCTGATTTTGGATGTTGGAGGATCATCCCCAAAGGAAAAAAAGAGCTTCCCCACCCTGGCCAATTATGGATGGCCCAGGGCTGCGGGGAGGACATAGACTGCCTTGAGATTTCCATGTCTTGATAATTAAGCCTTAATTTTATCATCAACCTAAATGAATTTCCACTCCTGGGTTAAATGTGGCTTTTCTAACACCCACTATGTATAATTTAGGTCAAATAACTGAACAGCATTTAGGTAAGGAATTCAGAGCCAAGCCAGCAAGAGTTATGTACCGTATTCTAAAATACTTTTCTTAAAAGTCTGATGTGCAGAACCCACAGCTATAACTATTCTGTCTTTCAGTTTTATGAATTATAAAATGAAAACCATAATAGTTTGTACCTCATATGGTCACCGTGAATAAGTAACCAATTAATATATGAAAATTGTTTAGCAGAGTGCCTAGAAAATAAGTACCCATGAAATGTTATCTGTTAATAT